GAGGAACACGAACTATTCAACACACAAAGTCTTTCAACCCCTTGTGCGACTGCACTCGCAAAAATTCCTTCCAATAAATTGTAAGATATGGTTTTACCGTGTAGACACGCCATGACTGATGTGGAACAAATACAGAACTATGCCTGCCACAAAACACTTGTAGATTTTATACAGACACTTGTATAAAAGTTCATAGTAAGCCAAGATTAATCCCTATTGTATCACACACGTGGGGAGAACGCTAAAAAATGCGTAGTCAGCAAGTTTCGCCCGATCGTGTTTAAGCTCGCCCGCGTGACGTCATTGCATATAATTATGACGTATGTTAATGAGTGACGTCACTACGCACCCTCATTTGTACGAGTATTAATTAGCGCACCCTCAACATCCTTACGCACCCTCATTTGTATGAATATTAATTAGCGCACCCTTACGAACCCTCAAAAATCCGGCCCGAACGGCCCCTATATTACTACTGGAGCAGTTGCGAAAAATGCAACTACTGTACTCGTGTATATAGGGCCTATGGCAGGACTCGAACCTGCGGTTCTTCAATTACGGTGCAACGCTCTAACCAACGGAGCTATACACTGAGTATAACCACAAGTTCTTGTAGGCCTATATTACTGTATTTTAATATGATATTTGTGGTGTTACTCTGAGTGTATATCCACACCGGGCGAGCTTGAAAAATATGCCCGGCCACGGTGGGATTCGAACCTACGACCTTTGGAATACTAGCCCACTGTATTTTGTTATATAAAGTGTAGTGCTTTATAGAGATTTCGAGCACTGATAAAACTGATAATCTCGCATGTGAGATTATTTATTAATTATCGCTTTTCTGTAAAAATTATCGCTTTTCCGAAAGACTGTCCTTCATATAATAAACAGAAAAATACATGGATGCTTGGAAATACCAGATATATTTCTTGTGTTGAACATGATATCTCTCACTCGTTCGCTGCGCTCACTCTTGAGATATCATGTTCATGCAACACTCGAAATAAATCTGGTATTTCCGCACACCCCATGTATTATGCTCTTTAAATATAATGAATGATGCCAAAAAAAGGTGTATGTGAATATCGAGATTTTGGGGCATCTCACTCGATGGGAATAACAGTTGAAGGATTCTTGTGGAAATGTCGAGCGAAAGATTATACAGTATAAAATTTTAGACCTACCCAGGAGCAGCTGTGAAAAAATGCAACTATATGGGCAACAGGAAGCAAAATAATGCAACTAGTCATAGGCTCTGGCAGGAATCAAACCTGTGGCACTGCTATTGTTGTGCAGCACTCTAACCAACTGAGATAACAGTACTCTCCAAAATTACGGAGAATGCCATTTCAGAGGGTCTAAATTTCAATATCTTAACTGAGAGATGCCCTTGAACCTCCCACCCCTGGTAGGGAAGTGGTGCCCTTCTGCACCACATAGCCATAGGGTGGGGTACCTTCTGCACCACATATCTGCTGCTTATCTCTTTAAAAACGCCAGCTATTCTACATGTCGGAAACAAAAATGCCAATACTGATATTTTGAATTTAGGGCTGATCACTGGTATTCATTATGGCAATATGGATATTAGTGCACCACTAAACAATAAAGCAGTGAACCTGAATCACGGTGCAACACCCGATTTTTTAGACGGAATCAGATTTTTTAGACGTGAAGTACCTAGTTCTGTATTCTTGTTATCTTCGGTGTTCTTCAAAAACACTCGGGTCATATCAAGGTTCTTAGTTGTATGGCACAAGTATTTCAGGTTTTTGGAAACTTCACCATTCTCCAATTCAGTTGCTAGAATTAATAGGAAAATAAATATAAAGGATGTTTAATCCATTAAATTGCCAGAACTCTCCGCTTCACGAGTAAAATAGTCTGGCGTTAGAGTAAAATAATCTGGCGTTAGACAGATCGTAAAATAAAAGAAGGGCACATCAGGGTGCATTGCCATGCACTTACAGTAAAGGGTTAAGAACTATTTTTTTGTTTCTTAAATACAGACAAAATGCAGAAAAGGTACCGCCCAGTCATACTTACACTGTTCTTCAAAAATAATGTTGGTGCCAATAGATTCTATAACATAAAAAAGTATGGTATGAAATAAAAACTGAAATTCTTCATAAATTATGTACTATACGATCTGCAGCACTCTCCCCTTGACAAATAAAATTGTGTGGCATTAGACAGAGTAAAATAATAAAGTAGGACACATCAGATTGCAAAGTGGGCTTCCATTAGGACAGTACGTGGGATATGACAGCCTGGCTATACATGTAAATGCCTGCATGTGAGGCAGCCAGTCAAGTGGGATCCTCTTTGACACTTCAAGCCAACCCAGCTGTGTGCACATAATTTCTCTCATATGTTGCACATATTTTGGCAATAAAAATAATCTGTGTGCATGCAGTTAAACAAAGTTAGAAGACTGGTTTTCAAGGTTTTCATTCATTACCACTATAGTTTCCATTGAAAATCATCCTATCTATCTGCATTGCAGGCTCATCTGTATCAATACCCTAGACAATGGAAAGAAGCAGAAAGTACTGTAAGTTTCCCAAATTTCAGAGTGTAAGACGTCATGTGTAAGTAATCGTCATTATACTTGTAGCTGAGATCCCAACTGAATGGTGAAGGTCATGCAGTTCATTGTTCAACCTGATCAAGTTATATTTATAGGCTTAATTTTCTATGATAATGGCAGAAGGATCTTAGTTACAGTAGCTAGGGCAACCCACCCTGTTAACATTTTGACTTTCAGTAGGGTATTGACAGACTCTTTTCACATGATATATTGTAAGTGTCATGAGTTTGCAGTAGAATTGAACCCACAATCTCAGATATACAAATGTAGCCCATTGAGTGGCACCTCTCTCCCTTTGACAATTTAAGTTAGTTGTCTGGCATTAGACAGTCAAAGTAAAATAATCTGGTGTTAGACAGAGTAAGTTAATAAAGTAGGGAGCACTGCCACTTAAAGGGTTACTAACAATAACATGTTTCATGGGCATGCAGATACTGTAGTTTGATTAGCCCATTGAGTACAATTATAATATTATTTATAAAGGGTGCATTGGGGCACATTACTACTTACTGTACATGTAAAGGGTTAGTTACATGCTTCGAGCTGCAAAGCTGTTGTTCCATTGTGTATTCAACATTCTACAGTAGATATAGCCAATCGCAAAATTTATCATTTGCTGACTAGTTGAGGCAGATTATTTCAAGAGCAATTGTACAAAATAATTATATCTGCAGACAATTATGTCATGTAGCTAGTCACCAGTCCGGTATAGATGATTGATTGATTGTGAATTAATTACAGCAGAATAAGTAAATTTGCATTCACCCAATTTTTTTCACCCTTAACCCCCATTGAGCTCCAGCAATCTTCCCATAACAAATACTATTGTCCAGTGTAAGAGTAAAATAATCTGCAGACGTACAGAGTAAAAAAATATAGTAGGTAGGGCATGTTAGGGCAGAATGCAACATAAGGGTTAACCTCAGAATGGCAAATTTAGATTGGCAGTTACTTAATACTTAATAGTATAAACAGTGCTGACAAAACTTTTTCCCCCTCAGGTACACTAGCTTTCATGTAACGTCAGTAATTGTCATCATGCAGTAATTTATTTAGTGATCGTTCATCTCAGTACTCGAATATGCAAAAAAAACTTACCAAAACTTTACAATTTGTTGCATCACACTTTTTCAAATAGTCCATATCAATTATGCCAGACAAATGAACAGCAACCAGTTGCTCCTGCATATAAGTAAAAACTTACTTCCTATAGATTACCTGCATGATCATGTAAGTCTATGTATTCAAGTTGGCATGCAAAATGTCAAATTGACATTTTTATCTACATGTACTGTACTGCAGCCATCCACCCAGCCTTGAAAACATCAAGCATGTGCATGGTACCTTTACAGTACTGTATGTGGTTAAATTTGTGAAAACAACATCATCGAATAATTAGTTTTGAATATTGGCCAACCTATACCCACCACCCAGACTGTATTTCACACACTCATTTTGCAACCTCACACCAGAGATCTCCTGTGTGGAGTCTGTGGACAGACGGCTGCATAGAAAAAGTATCAGACAGTATTGGGGGATCCCTTGACATGCATTCCTGCATTTTTTATTTGTAATTTTGAAAAATAACCAGTGATTGTCTAGGTTATAGATGGCAAAAATGCCGGGTGCTGGCTTCTGGAGTTGATGTGGAAATGCAGCCAGGACATCCGCTAACCCACCCAAAATGTCAATGTCGCTTAGCAACTTGAATTGAATATGACCACTCAGTATGTTATACACAACAATACAATGCTTATGCAATACAAACAGCCTTTTAGACAAGTACAGAAGAGCTAGTTCAACTGCTCAAGGGCCACTCCATTTAATGTACACCCCCCCCCCCCCCCCCCCCCTATGGACAAGAATTTCTGAGGGGGTTTGAAAAAGCCGTTTCTGAGGGGTTGTATGCATCGGCAACCTTTGATCTTTGCATTTTTTCTGAGGGGTAAGGCAAAAATTTCTTAATTTCTGGGGGGTGTTTGTGTCTGCACATTGATCTTTTTTTCTTAGGGGTTCAAATTTTATTGAACTCGTCCGTAGG